GCGCCAACAACGTGCACAGATCGTACAGCTGCTCGAGCAGGCCAAGCTGCCGGAGATGCTGCCGCTGCCAGCCGAGCAACGTGAGATTTGCGAATGGTTGCTGAACTATGCCCAGCTAAGCGAGGAAGAATCTGTGGTGGACACGGTGGCGTTGCGTGCCATACAAACGCTGGAGCTGCAGCTGCGCGCAGGCAGCCCCAACTATCTGGACATTGTCGAGATCTTTGCCAAGGAACGCCTACAGCATATGCTGCGCCGCAATGCAGCCACGCTGCCAGCAGCTGTTGTCTACAGGCGCCACACCATGCAGCGTTGCTTCGAGTCGCACTGGTACTTCGACTGGCAGTCTGCGGAGCAGCCTACGGCCGCAGAACTTGTGGATGAGCAGCAGCAGCAGCAGCAGGCGCAGGAGCAGTTGTATCAAGCGGAGGCGACTCAGCTGGAGCCGCTCAGCTTTGAGCAAGTGCTGAAACAGGCTCAGGCCGCGCTGGACAAGTGCCAGCAACAGCGCTTTGAGCGCAAGACATTGAGCGTCCTAAACGAGCCGCTGGACAAGATGGAGCGCACCATGAAACGCTGTGACCGACAGCAGCTTCACCATCACCATCAGCAGCAGCAGCAGCAGCAATATCATCGACCAGAACGACGGGCTGAAAACTTGCCAACGCGTCAGAACATCAAGCGACAACGACTCAGTTCACCCGCCGATGAGTGCACAGCTCTGTTGGATCGCACCGAGCGTCTGCTCGATGTTAGCCAGACGAGCGAGGAGCGACGCCTTCAAGTGCTGCAACGTGCCAATAAGTTTTTATAATTTATATATACTAGTTGTATTTTACAAGTTTCGAGATTCGTAATAAATTTATTTAAATTGTCCTACTATAAACACGAATTGTTGTTCGTTGTGTGAAGTGCGCTAGAAATTCGATTTTGAATTTTGCGCCAAAGTAGTTTGCATTGCGCGTTGCACAGCACTGCCAAGGAGCAGTTGCTTAGCCTCCATTTGTTCATTCATTTGAATACACACAACTTATAAGTTATTCAGTATTTTTAATTAAGCTTGTTTGATAAACGCGCCATGCATTCGACATAATCTGGCAGGGTGACCATCATTCGCATTTGAGCTCGAAATCAAAATTGGCGCCATAAAGTATGCCTTGTTCGTTATGCGACACTGCTTGCAGCGCTTGCTACCGATTGCAAAAAGTGTGTGTGTGTCATCGTTATCGTTATCGGTTTTGGGCAGCTCTTTGACAGTTGCGTTAAAATGGGGAGGCAATCATGTAGGCCTTGATCACTTTTCATTCTCCAGTTTCTCTCTCTCAGTATTCATATCAAAATTATTTTAACAATACAACAGACAAAATTCAATTTAAAAAGTTTCATATTTTCATGCATATATCAAAATTAAAACGCCGTACAAATTGAAGAGCTACCTTTTGTTTGCAATTAGCAACTAACTGGAAGACGAAACTTTCTAGTTTTTGTGCAATTTAAGCGGAATAGCCAAATACTTGCAAATAATTATCAAAACCTTCGACAATTGTCTAGTCCTTCAAAATACAAGTCGTGTTATATCGGAGCCAGTTTTTAGCTTTAAAACCAACCAACAAAATGAATAATCTTCCAGGATTTGGCTCATTGCGAATGCTGCCCATTAATGGAGGTGAGTTCTCCAACGATTGCCGATTCCTTTTTGCACATTTCCAAACATTTCTACCATATATATATATTTTTTTTTGACAGCTTTCAACCGCTGTCAGATTTGGCAACGCGCCTTGTCCAAAACGATAAGTTGCCAAAATTCTAGCGAGGGGCCCGTCTCGGCCATTTTGTCAACGTACAGATCCGTACGTTGCCGTCTGATGCGCAAAATGTCGGTGGCTATGATCCGACGTCGTTCCAGCTTGAACTTTCTGGAGAAGAAGCCCATCGATGCCCAGAGCGTGACGAATGCCGGGCACGCTCGGCTGCCGGTGACAATGCGCCACTATCCAAAGACGCTCACCCAGAAGCGCTCGAGCATTGGCATCGAGCCACCGATGATGATGCCCACGTCGAATGTGTGGGCCAGTTTGCATGCGCAGCGCAGCTTTGCCACCATGAGCGACAGGCTAGATAGGGCCAAGGCGACGAAGCGACCCAAGACATTGTCGGAACGGCCCGTGGTGCCCATACTGGAGCTTATTAAGCCGGAGGAAGCCACCAAGCTGAAGGGCATTGACTCTGGCATTGCAGCGCATAACAGCATTTTAAGGTCGTCCAAATTGACCAAGGATTCGCCGCCGCTGCCCGTGCCCCGGCTGGCGGGGCCGACGCAAAAGCTGCTGCCAAATGCCGGCAAGGTTCTGCCAACGAAGGATAGCGAGCGTCCCACGGTGCCCATACTGCATTTCTTTGAGAATAAGGATCATCTAGATGGCGCCGAAACGTTCCGCAGCATCTCAACCGGGCCCAAGCCAAAGGAACAACGCCGCCTGGCGCCATTCCTGCCACTGAGATGCGAGGCTGACTCGGTAGCCAAGCGTCGCGAGGCACAAAAGGATTTCGCACTGAGACGCTCCAGCAGCGTGCAGTATTTGATGGCCAAGCATCCATTGATGCACAAGCTACGACCGCCAACATTGTCGATCCTCAAGTCCAACGAGCTGTCCCAGAACGTGGAGACCTTCGAGACCCGCCTCCGGGCACTGCGCACGGCACAGCCACTCAAACTGAAGGTGCCATCGCCGGCGGACATTGAAAGGCTGACCATAACACAAAAGTACAGGGGCTTCAAGTTGCCGCGTCAGCCGCAGGTGCAAAACACATTCCCGCGCATGGGCAAGAAATATGGGCCCAAACAGAGTTTCAGATCGGCCACAGTGGTCCTGCCCAGCATCAAGGCGTACAGGATGACGCTGCCAAAGAAGATCATACGAAACAAGAAGCTCCGATACCAGAAGACGGCCCAGAAACAGTCGGCGAAGCCAAAATCATTGAAGCAGCAGCCGACCAAAAATAGAAATATGGACGAGACCAAGACCAAGACCAAGAAAAGCCACATGATGTTGATTCACAACAAGCGCCCCGAACGGGAGAATCTGAACAATCTGCTGGGCGATCTGCTGGACAACAAGAAGCCGCCGACGCCCCAACCGACCGAGAGCATTTCGTTCCATAAGATTGCCCCGCTCTTCAAGCTGGTCACGACCAGCGTGGAGGGTCGCAGCAATTTGCACAACAGACGATTCGAGAAGCAGCTGGAAAGCCCACAGCTATATAGGCATCCAATCATCAGGAATATAAATCAATCGCCGAGCGTCAATCGGCGTGCCATATTTATGGGACAATCGGCTGCGTATCGGGCCAAAGCCATATTGGAGAACAAGCTGAACTTACTCTTAAGGGCCGACCAGGAGGAAGACGACGAGGAAGAGGACGAGGACGCTAACTAAAGTACAGGCAAACCATAAAAAATACAATCTGATGTTATAGCCAAAACAATTTTGTGTCTATAGCGACAAATCTACAAATTGTGCATAACAGAAAAACAAAAATGTTTCAATCATTTTCTCAACAACATTTGCTAAATATTCTGGTTAACCAACAAATTTACACACAATTTAATGTTATACAAATGTTTTACAAAATTCAATGTGCCAACCGTTCACTTAATTGTATATAAGATAATATAATCGTTAAATCGCATCTGCCTGCGCTTTTCTCTTATCGCCGGCGAGGTAGCGCCATGCATTAGCCATAATCACGCAGGGTGACCATCATTCGCGTTTGAACTCGAAATCAAAATTGGCGCCATAAAGTATGCGTTGCGCGTTGCACAGCACTGCTTGCTGCTACGCTTACCGTTGCTTAGCCTTCATTTGTTCGATAGGTTATCCATTATTTCTAAGCTTCTTTGATAAACGCGCCACGCGCTTCTCTTATTGCCGGCGAGGGGCGGGGTGGAGAAGGATATAGCTGGAACTTTCATATATAAGTAGCATAAGCATTAAATGCTGCAATTGGTCAAGATATCTTGAGTAACGACTATATCATAGGTATAATTAGGTTCTTGTGGGGAAAACTTGTTTTGCCTTTCGCGAATTTTCCACACTTGCGCGTGGAATTACATTATTTTTCAATCGCAGTCATAAAATCTGTAGATGTTTCTGAGAAATTCCTGCAAATGCTTACACATATTTTCCTCATATTTCAAATACAATTCAAAATGCTAAAAAATGCACAGATAGAGTGATAACGAGGGGGTGGGGGAGAGAGAGAGACATAGATTGTTTACTGTGACTAATCGCACACACACACATGCACACGCACACCTACACTCATGGTAAACATGTTTATCGAAATTGATTCCTTTGTTTACCTCGCCTGGTCACACCATTTCACCAAAACAAGCATTAATTGGCGCAGCAGCAAATCAAATGAACGCAATAACAAAAACAAAGCGTCGCACGCGATGTTTGCAGCCCCTCCCCCTCCCCCCTCTCACTTCTCCACTCAGCAGCTTGAATCAGAGCAACTATTTCGGGACGCGCTGCGTCGTCAAAGTGCAAGCTCATCCATTCTCAGCGCTCACGTGTTCCGCACTTTTTGGCAGCCGTCCAACGAACGAAACATTTCACAATTCGATGCAAAATTACGATATTAATAAAGAAAAAAAGGGAATAAAAAGGCAAAAGGCAATTTTACAGTACGAAAAAAAAGCAAGGAAATTTTCTTTTTGATGTGTCCAGCGACGCCGCCAGCGGGTTTTTTTTTTGTTTTGGGACTTTTTGTTTACCAAGGAGTGGGGGGCTGGCGAACGCCGTTGCACGCATTTCTATTGAACAATTGACTAAATTATACAATTTGCCATCTGATTAACAATATCCATTGATAATATATGTAAAACTAATTGAAACGAACAAAAAAAAAATAAAACAAAGGAAAGAAAAAACAACGTCAGCTCAACATTTTCGCCATCAATCGATGAGAAGATTATTTGTGTTGTTTTTAGTGTTCGATTTTCTTGTTGTTGATGTTCTAGTTGTCATTTATTGGAGATGATGCTGCACCTTGCACTGTCGGAGCGCCTCATTGAAGCCCTCGCACAGCGACAGATCCGATTGACCCTGGGCGCATTGCAGGAACTGTTTAATTTCCCAGGCGCATGCACCCTGTGGCTCATTGGCACCCTGTGCCGGCTGCGCATAGTATGGCTGCTGCTGCTGTTGAACTGGCGCGGCAGCGGCTGGCGCTGCGGCCTCCTTATCGCCAGAGCCGCTGAACATGGACGTCAATCCATGGCCGACGGTGTGGCCAATCGCTGAGCCAACGGCAACGCCTCCAGCGGTGGCAGCCATTTGCTGGAACATCGATGGCTGCTGTGGTGCCGGCATGCCAACGGCGCTGGGTGGTGCGGCGGCCATGGGTGCCGCCGGTGGTGGCGCGGCACGTGCGGGCACATGTGCCTGTGGTGGTGGGGCGGCGCGAGCCTGCGGCGGTGCGCTGCTGTGAAGCGAAATTAGTACAAATCATATATATATAAATACACCATTATTATTATTGTTGTTGTTGTTTCTGCGCGTTTGAACTTTGCTCGTTGCACAGTGTCCGTTTCCGTGTTTATCTGTTTAGGGGTTACGTAACGCCTTGTGCCACGGAAACTTCCAGAATTCGCCTTAAATTTCGACAAATCGCATTGACAAAGACGCACATAAATGTACAACGCATCGCACTTTGTTGCAACAATTGCGTTGCAATTAGGAACAACACGTTGTTTCATGTCTCTTGCGCATTTTGTCCAATTGGATTTTCTTACATTTACAGGTGCATTATGGCACGCCACTTACCGTCTGGCTGATGGTGGGGGGCTAGCAGAACGTCCACGTCGTACCATTTTGTTGTAGTTTGCTTCTTTTATATTTTAAGTTTATTTTAACCCGAAACTAACAAGTTTTTTAGTTATTTACGAAAATTTAACTGTGTTGCTGCGGATGATTACTTTGCTTTATAAAGTTCTTTGCACAACTAGGGTTGTATGTGAGCACGCATCGATGTCTGGCTTTTACCGATGATTTCAGTGTTGGCAAGTGCCGTAAAGACAACCAATTAGCAAATACGCGATCTATCGATACATTTTCGATCACTGTGGCGCAAATTTGATTCTTTTAGCTGCCTGAATCAACGGTAAACGTAATTTCTTCTTCTACTTTTTTTCTCAGGGCTAGCGATGGTTAGTGATACTCGTCTTTGTCTGGTTAACGGCAAGAGGTAGGCTAATAATGCAATTTAACCTGATTTTGCTGCTCGCACTTTGTTTGCTGAGCGCATACTCAGCCGAAGATCTGCTCGAGCTGGGCTGCACAACGAACGCGCAATGCGAACAATTCGAGGGCGGCCAGTGCCATGATTCGAGCTGCGTGTGCTTAGCACGTGGCAGCAAGGAGCGCATCCCCTGCCAGCCCAAGGACAACAAGCTGAGCAACATAATTGGCGGGCCGTGTCCCTGCAGCCAGCCGCACGCCGAATGCGATACACAGATGCAGCAGTGTTTCTGCGCCGACAACTACATGGCCAGCGCGGACAGACGCCGCTGCTTGCCACTCCAGGTGGCCCTGAATGGAGTCTGTGAAGTGTCGCGCCAATGCCAGCTGGCGGACACGTTTGCCGTCTGCCACATGTCGCAAAAGCGCTGCATATGCAGGGAGCACTTTGAGCAGCACCAGGGCAGCTGCCGGGCGCTTCTAGGTGAGTCTTCATCCTTCAAGTAACGCGGCATCCGTATTAACATCCAACATCCATGTACAGATTTGGGCTGCAACAACAATACGCATTGCGAACCCGTTGGCGCTTCAATTTGCCTGCCACAGGCTATGAAGTGCGCCTGTATTCGGGATTATGTGCCCAATCACAATATGACCAGCTGCGTGTCGGGCGTTGGACTTGGCAGCAATTGTACGACTCCCGCCCAATGCCAGCTGAAGCTCGGCGCCGGCAGCACTTGCCGCGACAATCGCTGCAGCTGCCGCATCAAGCACTACCCAAAAATTGATCAGGATCCGAACAGCGCCGTTTGCGAGCCCCAGGTGCCATACGGCGCCTATTGTCGCCGCACGGAGGACTGCCAGCAGCATCAGCCGGATGTGGAGAACCGGGTGCATGACGCACGCATGCACTGCTTCAAGGGCGAGTGCCAATGCCGGCCCGACTTTCGTGTTGTGGACAATCAACACTGCGTGCTGGACACATCCGCGGCTAATCCGCGATATAAACTACTACACGCGCCGCTCTCCATGCTAATTTTTTGGCCAATTTATTATTATGTATAGAGAGAGAGAGAGAGAGAGAGAGAGAAAACGAAAATAAACACACACATTGAAATACACTTTACTCTGGGCTATGGCCAGGCTAGAGGCCGATGCGTGCCGGAGTACGGCGTGGCGTTGCATTGCCGGGCGTGGCGATTTCCTGTTTGCCCGCCAGCTGCTCCTCGCGCTGTGCCGCCTGCTGTTTGCGCTCCTCCATCTCGTGCTGGGCCTGCAACATTTGCTCCTCCATTTCCTTTAGATGCTCGGCGGCCAGTTTCTTTTTGTCCCGGCCGCTGCGTCCGGTCTCCTTCACCGAAAAGAACATGGGCCCCAGCTCGGCCAGCCAGTAGCCATCGACAGCGGTGGCACACTGCATATACTCCTTGGCGGTCATAATGAGCTCATGGTAGACCACATAGTCGGGCGTGGTGCCCAGACCGTATAGCGCCGACGTCGGATGCAAATGGCAGGGCATGCCTGTGCGCAGATTCACGTACTCGCCGATGCCCTTCAGACGTGCCGCCTGGTAGAAATAGGCGGAGCAGATGCACTTGCGCACAATGTCCCAGTCGGTGCCGCATGACTTCACGTTCATTTTCTGCTGCGTCATGATGTCCTTTAGCTGTTGGCGCACCTCGCGCACCTTGCGCATCGCCTTGATGTGTATGAAGTGCTCGTTGCACCACGTGGAGCTATAGCTGCAGGATCAAAGCGACATGGAGAGAGCGAGAGAGAGAGAGAGGGGTAGATATGGAGGAAGTTGTAATAAAGCATCTCCTGCTGCTGACTCACCTGTTCTGCTTCCACTGCAGGTAGACATTCAGATAGGTTAGATGATCCGATTCGGGCACCTGGAACTTTTCGCGTACACCATCCGCCTCCTCCTCGCGCCCCTTGGGTCTATAGAATATGGAGGGTACAGACAACATGGATACTGTGAAATAAAATAGAAACCCGATTAGCGGTAACTAAACACAAGATGCAGGCTTTTAAAACTGAAATGTCCAGTTGGGTCAGCACTTGTATACCCTGGACGCACTGCAAGTGGCTTCGATAGGGTATACATACATACATAATTGTTTTTCATTTTTCATTAAAGTGACGAAATCAGAGCGTGAGTCAGTTTTGCCCTCTCTCCGCTCCTATGATCAACCGTTTTACAGTTAGTAGACAATTCATTTTGTTACTCTGCCTCCCTCAAAAGTAATAAAAACTAACGGAATGTTCGGAAAAGAATAACGGATAACATCGAATGTTCGTATTTCGTATTGTGGCTGTGTGTGCGTGTAGCATGTGTGCGTGTGAGCATGTGTGCGTGTGATCGTGTATTCCTTTTAATTTCGTTTTTCGCTTTTGGCAAATGTGACATTGGAATGGAGATTTTAGAAAGACAACCAATTTGATGCATCTTATGTACATACATGCATACATATGTATGTACATATGTATATTAAAATATATTTCAATTAAGAGCTTGAGCATTTTTAAAGTTATTTTGAGGTGCAAGCGCCATATTTGCGATTGCACCTGGCCATTATAGAAATACTTTTGTGTAAAATAAAGTAAAATACTTTATGGGTTGAAAAACAGGTAAATTCCCTTTCAAAATTAAAATCTATTTGTAATTCAAAAATGTTGGATGATGCATGAATAATTTCAGTATTGCAGTAGCAAAAGTTCCATCCGTTTTTCACAGTTTTGGGTGGAATTTATAAAAGCAGCGTGGAAAATGCAGCCTAATTGGCCAATTAGTCAGTCAGTCAATCAGTCAATCAATAAATATATATGTATGTGTATGTATGTGCATAGATGACTCACCTATGATAAGCACCTCGGCGCTGCACTCCATTTGGCAGGCAACGATGAGCATCTGGCACTGTGGCGGATCCAGCGGAAACTCGGCCATTTGCCTGCCCAGAGTGGTCAGGGCGCCGGTGTGATCCAATGCGCCCAATATCCACAGCTGGTAGAGCGAATTTAGGATGTTATCCTGTGGCGGTGGGTCCATGAAATGGAATTGCAGCAGATCGACCACGCCCAGGGATTTGAGCAACAGCACCGTATTGGCCAGATTGGTGCGCTGTATTTCGGGCACGGTGAGTGCCAGCAGCTCGTCCTTGTATTGGCGCTGCGTGTAGAGGCGGAACGCCTGGCCGGGACCCGTGCGACCGGCACGACCGGAACGCTGATTGGCATTCGCCTGGGAGATCGGATAGATCTGTAGGGCATCCATGCCTATGCGCGGATTGTAGACCTTCAGCTTGCAGTAGCCGGAGTCGATCACATAGATGATGCCATCGACTGTGAGCGATGTTTCCGCAATGTTGGTGGCCACCACACATTTGCGTACGCCGTCGGCGGACTTTTGGAAGATCTTCGCCTGCAGATCGGAGGGCAGCTGCGAGTAGATGGGCAATATGCTCAGCTCGGGCGCATTATCTATCTCGCTGAGTCGTTCTTCGAGCACCTCGCAGGTGACCTCGATATCCTCCTGGCCGGGCATAAAGATCAGCATGTCGCCCTCGTTGGGCGTCAGATGCACCTGAAGCGCCTGCTTAACGGCCGATTCCACATAATCCTCGCACGCGTTCTTGCTAAACATCACATCCACCGGAAACGTACGTCCCGGTATGGTAAACGTCGGCACGTTCCCGAAGAATGTCGCAAACTTGCTCGAGTCCATCGTGGCCGAGGTCACAATCAGCTTCAGGTCATGTCGCCGCGCCACAATCTACAAATGCACAGAATCCAAATAAATGGGATTAGCTTTCGATTAAATGCTTGACGAGAAGGCAAGCCCGCCGCAGGCATGCCAAAAAAAAAAAAACAAAGAACATTGTCAATTGTTGGTCTTTTCTTAAAATTCTTCGACAAGCCGACGATGAATTACACTGGCAGAAATACGACATAGATATTCTTGTATTTTAAGCAAAATAGGTCCACACAGTAAACAGAAAATATATATAAATATTTCATTCAGTTGAATTAATTGTTTATTTAATAAATATAGATCAGATCCTTCTCACTATGCCTGACTGGACGACAAAATACATGATAGAGTATTTGAATGTTGCAAAACCTCTGGCTCGCGACAATCGCCGTGATCTACTTGTGCGCACATTCACACAACACTAACACATACATATGAATGTTTGTAGATCACGGGGTTTTGTGGGAAGCTATGCAAGGAGAAAGAGCGGACGCAAGTGCACGAAGCAATGAGTGAGAGCGAGGCACATGTATACACACACATGTATGTTTTTGGGCTGTAAGGATTGAAGCCGCAGCGACGTTGCGCGCTGAGCGAAATGCGGCTTCATACTGAACGTTCGGCTTTCGAGGCCGGCGTTCGGCTGCCACTCTCAGCAGTCTTACTCGGTCTGGGCACACTAAAATGGTCGCAGGTACCCTTTTTCGTTTCGATAAAAAGGGCCATTTGGTATGTCTATACATTGTATGGTTAGTGCCAATACCCTGTAACCAGCTGCGTATTCGGATTTACTTAGTTAGAAACATTCACAAGCGAAGGTGCTTTTCTCTGTTTTCTCCTCTTTTTTTATCCGATCTATATAATGTATTCGAGAGCAAAAGCCAAAAGGAATAAATATGTTTGATCTGTTTATGCTCTATAAGGATCTAAGATCTAGTGTCTATAATCTGCGAGATATGATCGATATGATATAGAGTTATGGATCAAATGCATTATGGCATTATCTTTAACTACCATGCATATGCCCGATTCCGATTAGGATTAGGAATATATACATATATACTTCATAAAGTCGCAGCACAGCACATCAAAAAATGCTCTTCAAAAAGATATAAATTTTTAATTCGGAAATGATTTTAAGTTGCATAAATAATTGGACGCCAGGTGGACACGTGAGTTGGCGTCCCTACGGGTCAATGGCTTTACAAATGAATTATGCAGGACTGTCCATTATCTATGGCGACATGTGCCACGTATTCTGGGGCATTCTACTTGAGGCTACTCGATTCTGTGGCCTTGGAACGATTTCACCTCCCAACAAAATGTGCTTAGTCATACGAGCATGACCCAAATCCCGAGCACCGGCCCCTGGGCTCAGGGAGGCATCAAGTCAAAGTCATGAAAGTCCATGCTGCAGCAGCAGCATATCCTGAGCTGTGCCCACGGCAAGTGTGTTGAATTGTTGGGGCTAACGAAACTCAACACACACGAAGCGCTTAAGAGAGCAAGCGACAGAGAGAAAGAGAGAGAGAGAGAGAGCAGTTTCGGCTGACGCTCAAACGATTTAACGATTTGATGAATCGACATGTCGACACACGATTGAGCACTGGTTGGATGTTGGGTGGGGGGGTTGCCACCCCGCGCCGTGTCAAAAGTCAAACGTGCTGCGTCTCACGTAGGCAGTTTTCCCACGGATGAGGACGTATAGCCAGATCCTGTGCGCAGCTTGTTTGTTTGTATGTAAGTAAGTGTGAGTATGTGTGTGCGAGCGTGTGTGCATGCGAGCGCATGGGACGTTATGCATGCCTGGGCAAAGCACAAACAAAAAGCTCACGGTGCCGTTAAATCAATTCCGTTGCAGCACCTGCTGCAGCAGCGGTCAGCTTCGAGTCACGGGCAACTTAACAAGCAAATTGCGCATTAGTTTGCAATGCGGTTAGAAATCCATACATACATAGGTGGGACAAGCCCACAAACACATGCATGGTGTTTATTATGCGGCTTATCGAGCTATGCACACATGTATCTACATATATGCATGTATAATGCGCACACACATACACATAAACATACACATGCACGTTCATATTGAGAGTAAATTGTTTTTATAAAAACGCTTCAACGCCAACGCATTGATTCAATTTTATGTCTGGAGCCGAGCGTTAAATGACGTTGAGCACTGTAACCCGTCCACGGCAATTACGATAGTGTACTTCGATATATGACAGTTATATGGTGAATATGGACGTATGTACATGCACCTATGTATGCATGCATGTGTATGCGATACAAGATAAGGCGTTCTTTCAGAGTTACATGCATGCATATGTCAAATTGCTGAAAATGTGCCAAATGGAATTTCTGAAAACTAAGCTGAGAGAAATACTTAATCATTTAGATGTATACATATGCATATACATACATATCTATGCATGTGTGTAAGTACATAGTTATGTATGTATGCATGTGTGAATAATGCATGTATGTATGTTTGTATACACATTTTGCATGAAAACCCATGTTTGTTTGTGTTTTAAATGTTCACTTGGAAAATAGAAAATATTTGGAAAATATATGTTTAATGGAAACCCAAAGCCCCATTAGCAGGATAAAGAACAAGCGACGCTCCAGTTGAACAAATTCTGAGACATTTTTTTACATTTCAAAATTTGTTTAAATTTGAACTGAATTTGAAAAATTGCCTAAGTTCTGATGCGTAAAATGGTTAATGTAACATATTATATCAAAATGTAATATATTGTGTGAATATAATCCATTTAATAAATATTCACTTTATTCCTCTATACATATTATTTAACTATTCAATATTATTATTAAGAAGCTTCCTAATTCATTTCTTTAAACACATTCCAATAATAAAAAATGCTTCAAATCGATGTGTTTTTTTTATCAGTGTAACTATAGTATTTCAGTGCCTGGAACTAGGCAAGTCCAAGTTGGACATAGGGTTAATTATGTTTACAATAAAAACAACTGGAATCAAATGCAACGAAATCGAAACCGATTCAACAATCCATTTGGTTTTTACCATTGAACATTCTCGAAGCCAAAAAGTTATGAGGTTCGAAAAATAAAAGTTTTACATGATATTTATAATCCTGTGCGAATTATATTGCATCAATTAGGTCAGTTGTTTACGAAATGAAAGAACGAACATTCTTTTCGTAGATTTGAGTTAAAAATAGAAACCGCTTGAAAATTAATATGCAAACATTTCCGACTCTATTGAAAATATGTATCGACAATCAATTGATTATAACCATTTTGATTAGTAAATCGACAATTACTAATTGCCAGAAGTCAATAAAAAGTTCTCAAGTGGAAGTCTATACAGTAATGCGCATATAAAGAGCGAGATCTATCACATAGAAAAAATATGTATGAAGTTTAGAGGTTATGTCGAAAAAGATAGGTAATCTTTCTCTATTTTAAGATTCAGATATAGATATAGATATAGATATAGATATAGATATAGATATAGATATAGATATAGATATAGATATAGATATAGATATAGATATAGATATAGATATAGATATAGATATAGATATAGATATAGATATAGATATAGATATAGATATAGATTATAGATATAGATATAGATATAGATATAGATATAGATATAGATATAGATATAGATATAGATATAGATATAGATATAGATATAGATATAGATATAGATATAAGATATAGATATAGATATAGACTATTAGATATAGATATAGATATAGATAAAGATATAGATATAGATATAGATATAGATATAGATTAGATATAGATCTAGATATAGATATAGATATAGATATAGATATAGATATAGATATAGATATAGATATAGGCTATAGATATAGATATAGATATAGATATAGCTATAGATATAGATCTAGATATAGATATAGATATAGATATAGATATAGATATAGATATAGATATAGATATAGATATAGATATAGATATAGATATAGATATAGATATAGATATAGATATAGATATAGATATAGATATAGATATAGATATAGATATAGATATAGATATAGATATAGATATAGATATAGATATAGATATAGATATAGATATAGATATAGATAAAGATATAGATATAGATATAGATTATAGATATAGATATAGATATAGATATAGATTAGATATAGATATAGATATAGATATAGATATAGATATAGATATAGATATAGATATAGATATAGATATAGATATAGATATAGATATAGATATAGATATAGATATAGATACATAGATGTAAATGTTGTTCGACTTACGAAATTGCATCAGCTGGATTAGCCGTGACTAAGGCTGAGTGCTATGGCCACACACCCACTTAACGGTACAGGGCAAACACACACACACACACCCATATATATATACATATATGTATATGTATGTGTACCGTTATCTGTGTATATGTGTGCAACTGATACTAGTCTTATTCGTTTTGAGGCACACAAGCAAGCCATTTGGAGGTTGCCTTTATGCCTATCAATTTCTACGTACTACGAGTTCCATTTTATTATTATTATTATTTATTTATTTATATTTATATTTGTGTTTTTCTCTTTCTTTTTCTTTTAATGCGGCATGTAGTATATCAATCTTGATAGCGATAACACGGGGCTAGTGAGTCCCACTTGAGTTAGGTTGTGACTTTGCTGGAAATATTTACATACCTACACACACACACACACACACACACACACATGTATATTTCTATGTATGTGCATGTATTCGGATGCAATTCGGGTACGTGTCCCATTTGAATCATTTGCACAGTGCGTGTCGACAGTATGCGCACAGAGTAGCCTAAATTTTGACTTAGACAAGTTTTGGCAAGCTCAAATGAGGCAAGCTCGGACCAACAAGCGAGAAGTGGCCGGTTCAAATCCAAAACTAATTTTAAGCAAAAATCATTTTAAGAAATTGAACAAAAAAAGGAACTTCAAATAGATCAAACGCCTTATCTTCAACATTATTCACTCGAGCCGTGC